ATATGATCCACCAGCGAGGAACCAGCAGAACAGAGTGAACATTCTTTCTGTTTAGTTCAATCCTACTTAATAGGAATTTATTTAAAATGCTCGCTCTACTCCACACCATTAATGTCTTGTGCGGACATCCGTATTTTGACTTTCGGTTTTAAGTAAGCGATTTAAAAGCTCCCAAGTCCCAGCGGAGTCACACGTTGATTAACCGGTGGGAATATACACAATAGGCCTACCTGATATTGAACACAAGAGGGCAGTATAGCACTACGTATGACTCAGATTATTATTTTTTTATGAATTTTACAACAATTCTGGCTGTTTTTGAACGTAAACACAATTCTTAAATGAAAAAAAAGGAAAAATTGGGGAAGTTATAATATTTGTATAATTTAATTTAGAAACAAATGATGTATAATTACATTTTTAGAAGATATGAGGCTTTTAGTGTTTACTTTTTTGACATTACTTTAATCTTTTTGCCATAGTTGCACATGTCTATTGGCTAATAAATGTGATGTATCTGTTGAGTTTCAAGCAATTTCAAGCAAGCTAAGAGTCCCAAAAGCATCAAAAAATAATGTTAAAGTTTGTTTCGTTGCCACGGCATTTTGAAAGTGACACACTTCCTGCTGCCAGTTGGTGGCGCTATAACTTTGACTCACAATAGTCACATCCATGTGATCGGTCTCTTACAGCGAAAACACTGCTGAAGTTTCGTCAAGATCAGTTAATGTATGCTGAAGTTATAACACACATCCTGTTCCATGTTTCTCGCCATAATTTCGTTTCCTCGCCACGGCCAAACCGTTCGAGATATCAAAAATCCCGTGGCACTTTTTCATCCTTAATGTCTTGACTTCACGCTGATCGAGTTTCGTCGAATTTGGTTCAGTGCTCTAGGAGCAATAATTTAAATTACATTGCATGTGTTTTAAACACAACCCTAAATAGCCAACTTCCTGTTGGGCTGGGGTAAAAAGTAAGAGTGTGAAGTATATATGAAACGATGAGATCTATATGTGTACCAAGTTTCATATTATTACATGCAAGTGTGTTTGATTTATGGACCAAATTTTCAGACCAAGTTTATTGACCAAGTTAATCTGATTAATAAACTAATTATATAAAACTATTGTCAATTCACTACAATTAAACTAGTTATATGCCTTTACTTATAAAAAATAAAAATAAAAACTTATTTAAAAAATACCAGGCTTGAGAAATGTATTTTCTTTATGCAGGTCATACACACAGCAGTGAAATGGTTAAGCCCCCTCCCCCTGCACACACACACACACACAGACAGCCAGCCAGCCAGCCAAAGGCTCAGAGTGGCCATATTCAAACAAAAATATCTGAGTTTCTGTGGGTCCTAGCTAATAAGTGTCAATTAGAAAGTTGTCCGGCTCGAGGAGTACAATATACATACCAATTTTTGTAACTCTAGTTAAAACTAACCACCCCACTTTTGTCAAAAGGTGGCGCTACTGAGCCCTCACCACGCCCGTTTCTGCAACTTTGCACATGTCTACTGGCTAATAAATGTGATGTGTCTGTCGAGTTTCATGCAATTTGAAGCATGCTAAGGGTCTCAAAAGCATCCTAAAAGCATCCTAAAAGAAGGCAAAGTTTGATGCGTCGCCACGGCAACAGTTTCAAAGATATCAAGAATCCATTCACAGGTCTACATCTGCCGTATGTTTACATTATACAGATGAAGTTTGAAGCAAATCGGGTAAAAATAAAAGGGTGATTTCAAAGCATTTTGAAAGTGACACACTTCCTGCTGCCAGTTGGTGGCGCTATAACTTTTACTCACAATAGTCACATCCATGTGATCGTCCTCTTACAGCGAGCACACTGCTGAAGTTTCATCAAGATCAGTTAATGTATGCTGAAGTTATAACACACTTCCTGTTTCACGTTTCTCGCCATGATTTCGTTTCCTCGCCACGGACAAACCGTTCGAGATATCAAAAATCCCCTCGCAAACTTTCATCCTCAATGTCTTGACTTCACGCTGACCGAGTTTCGTCGAATGTGGATCAAAGCTCTAGGAGGAGTATTTCAAATACCATTGCGAGCGTTTTACAAACAAACCTCAATAGCCGACTTCCTGTTGGGCTGGGGTAAAAAGTAAGAGCGCGAGGTATAGATGAAACGATGAGATCAACATGTGTACCGAGTTTCATATTATTACATGCAAGCGTGTTTGAGTTATGGACCGAGTGTTCGGACCCCGTTCCAGGGGGCGCTGACGAGCCCCCCTGCCACGCCCAGGTACCAGCTTCAGCCCGGCTCTGATGGCCGCGGGTTCTGACCCGTGTGCAAAGTTTCAAGAGTTTTCGAGCACGTTAAGGGCCCCAAAAGTGCCCAAAAGGTAGTAAAATAATAATTATTATAATAATAATAGAGAAGAAAAATAATCGCAAGGAAAACAATAGGGCCTTCGCCCTTTCAGGGCTTGGGCCCTAATAATAATAATAATCCTAAGGAAAACAATAGGGCCTTCGCCCTTTCAGGGCTTGGGCCCTAAATATCTCAAGGGATAAGTTTAGACACAATAAACTCTATCTGTGAACGCAATCCAAAACATCCAAACAGACAGAGACGACACAAGAGAGTGGTTTATAGGGCATGCGCTGCGTTCAAGGACATGAGAGTTTCTCACCCGTCCTAACAGAAAACTGTGGAGCTGTGATGAAGGGACTTCCTGTTAGCGGAAGAGCCTGAAGTTAAACAGAAAGGGCGTAGAACTGCACACTTTCTTTGGAAGCTCCAGGGGCACAGAGTGCTTCCGTTTTACTAGTACATTTCCTGGCTTTCCAAGGATTTGTCCTAGTACAAGCACTATTTCAGAGGCATCACGCAATCTCGAGACCTAGTTGTCACCGTACCATTCATTCTCGATATCAAATATGACCGTTTCAACACCACAGCAAAAATGAATGCTGCTGAATGCACTTTATTATTATAAGTGTTAAAGACTTACAATATATAACTATTCACAAATTAAAATAGTAGCATGTAACATCCAAGTTTTTTTTTTTTTAAATTAACAAATATAGTAAATAAATAGCTGTGGTTTTCTCTTAATTGATATAATATCTGCATCAACTTCAAATGTGTAATGAGTCTAGACCATGATTCAGAGTATATCAGATCTGTTATGTTTATGTTGCTACAAGACTTTTATTTTAGTAAGCCAACATCATTTTCAAAGGTGCCCTATAATGTGAAATTGAATTTATGTTGGCATAGTTAAACAACAAGAGTTCAGTACATGGGCATGACATACAGTGAGTCTCAAACATCATTGTTTTCTCCTTCATACTTAAATCTCGTTTTTGAAAAACACCCCTGAAAAACAGGCGAATCTCCACATAATACCGATTCTGACGTAAAAGTCGGGATCATTAATATGTATGACCCAAATATTTGCATATCCCAGCCCATGTTCAGTGACAGACGAGACGGAGCTGCGCAGCCGAAGCATGGCCGTTGACCAGTGTTTGGATGTACACATGAACATATTTTTAGTTCCTTCATCCGAGCCTCTGAAGAAACAATGGGTTAATTTTATTTTCTCTGGCTATTTCCAAACATTTCACCGACGACTGTTTCCTCAACTTCCCAACAGCTGGCCGAGCTAATCTGTTATTGTTGTTCAAGTTCAGACAGGTAAAGTTAACGTTAATCTTTCACTCAGTTTATGCATCAGTTAGTCAAGCCAGGGACTTCACATCGTTTCTTTTAGTAGGATGAAAAAATAATAATAATAAATTGTATACAGAAAGCGATCAATATCTTTCCACACAGCGCGAGTTTATCTGGACACTTGCCAAACTCGTTATGAATTTAATGACGCACGTTACAATGCACAACGAAGCTCTTGCTGTATTTACATGATCGTGTCTGCATTAGTGAAAGCAGAGAAGGCAGAAATTGCGTTGCAATGATAAGATCTTCATCCTCGCGATCGACAGGCTGTCTGTCCTCTGCTTGCTCAATACTCAACACAGCAACATTTTATGTGACGGGAATAGATCTAAATGCTTCAAAAACATCTCACGATTCGTTAATCTCGATAGCTGTAATAGAAAAAAAACTATAATAGCTGGAGTAAAATTATTCGAAACAGTTTCACATGTAATACTTGGCTATTTTATATGCAAGCATGTCAGCCAATCACAGCAGAGGCCGGTTACACACAGCAGACACGCCCCTTCAAACAGAGTGTTCAGATCAGAGGCTAAAATCAGGCTAGGAAAAAATGCCTTTTATTTCTAAATTATGACTATTTTTGATCTAAAAACAACATACTAACATTATAAGGGCAACCCAGGAAACATTATAAAATAATTTAAAAAAAAAACATTTTAGGGCACCTTTAAAGAATCTAAAGAATCAATGGGACTTAGTCAAGGTAGATGCCATATTTAATTGTACATGGATGAAAACGAGGATGTGAGGGATAAACGCTGTTGAAACGGTGTTAGGGTTAGGAAGGAATGTGGGAATGGGATCAGTACAAGTTAAGTTCAATCAAGAGCATTTTCAGAAGAATGTTGATTGACAGAGAAAATTGTTTAGATTTGTCCTAAAAGCATGGCTAGATGGATGGATGGATGGATGGATGGATGGATGGATGGGTGGATGGATGGGTGGATGGGTGGATGAATGGATTATAGAGGATGATGGATGGATGGATGGATGGATGGATGGATGGATGGATGGATGGATGGATGGGTGGGTGGATGGGTGGTCCAACAAAAGATGCATTTTCAATGTTCGTTGGTTGAGCGTACACAACACAACCGGGCCCTTCACACATCATGTCACTACTAAATGAATTGTACATCCATCCCAAGTGGTCTAGTTTTGATTACCATTTAAATTAAATATGGCCCTGAGACAATTATTTAAACCCTTTTTCTCATATATTTTGTCAAATGATTCAAAACCTGAAACAAGGGACAATTGTATCACTGAAGTTGACTTACGTCCCAGGCGTAGTTTGATGGACTGCAGTAAAGTTCCTCGTTCATCATGGCAGCTGTAGTTGCCTTCCATTGAGTGTGTGGTGTTGAGTAGTGCAAGCGAGCCCTCGTGTGTTTGCCACGTCGGTACTGAGCTCCCATTGAACCGCCATTCCACCGGAGACCTGCCGACCCCATCCAAAACTCAAAGTCAACATCTCAGTCAAGAACCTTCACCTAGTTTCCTTGCAAACCTGTTTTAATCAAAGATATACCTACGACCAAATAACAGCTATCAACGCCAAACTGGACCTACGTATCGCGTTACTCATTTGTGTGTCTCGCAAATCTTATTTTTGGCAGCCGTATTCTCTTGGATAGCATATTTTTTTGCCGAGAAATAGGATTTCTCAACAACTGCATTTATATGAAACATAAGGCTTGCCAAAATCTGAGGCTGGGGAATCAACCCCCCTCTAAATAGCCTCAATGTGTCCAAACCCTATAAGGACTGGCCCCATGCCCCTACAGAGGGTGGTTAAGCACACTATTATCACTCCTTACAGGAAAGCTTAGCTCTGGAAGTCTGATGGAGTTCTAGCAAAAACTTAATATAGACTGGAGTACGTACCCGCCATGTGAGCCTCCGCATGTGAGGGTGACCCTGGAGCCCAGTCCACCGAACTGGACGTCTGAAACTGAAAGCAGGAGACATGTGAGCTGTTCTATTCCAGAGCTGTCAAGTGATTATGTTATCAACAAGCCAATAGCACTGGGATTTTGGCAGAGCCAAGTGTGCCGCACACAGCCTGAAAAGTGAAGCCTAAACATTTTGATTGCCCCCTGGTGGCTGGCTGCAGAATAGGTCATAAACCCAATTACCAAAAATCAATTACACTTTTTGTAATTTTGTAACAAAAAGATTGTTTTTAGGTCATTCACACTGAGGTTTTGTTCAAGCGTTCTTTTTTCCAATAAGTTGGAGTCTGCGCAAGTACCCCGGCTCTATATGACATCATTAAAAAAATGACTGTTTCAGGCATATTTTGGCTTCATTTTTCTACAGTGGAAGAAAAGTGAGGCCCGTTGTCCGTCTTTTTTTACAGTCTATGGTCGGAGCATTGGTGGTGTATGTTTTATTTACCAAAAAATTTTTAGAATTTAACATGTTTACACATGCAATTGATTAAATGCTTTTTTTCATTGTCTTGAATACATTTATATATTTATTGAATTAACAAAATGTCATCATCGTGAAACGTTTTACTGTGAACGCCGAATGAGCCGTGCAGGACAGCAGCAAAAATGTACGATTGTGTCCATAAAGTGGTTTTTATTTGTTTTTATTTGATTTGTTGCAGTCTAAAGCAGGGGCGTAGCCAGTATTGGGATATGGGCGACACTGGCCTGCCCACAATACTCACTGGCCTGCCCAGGCAAGTTTGATAAAAATACATTTTTTTGTTTATTTTTATTATTCAAATGTATTTAAGAAAATATATTATTAAAAAAAAATATATATAAATATATACACCTGATTTATTGTTGACTGCTGTGTATGTTTAATTCGTTCCCCAAATAAAATGGAACTGTCTAAGCAAGTTATAGAAAGCCTCCATCCAGAACGTTATTGGCTGCTATGGTTGCTGGGGGTTCCGATAGGAAAACTCTCAGCGGCTGTGTCCGAAATCTCCACTCGAACCAGACTGTTCAAAATGCATTCTGGGATACATTGAGTGGACTATATCCACAAGTTTCCTACGCCCCATGAGGCCTTGTGTCAAAAGTGGGCGCGACTTCCGGTTCGAAGTAATCAATACTCATCAAGGCATGGTGACAGACAGTTGTGCGAGCTGACAAACAATTAACATAAAAAATACACACTTAGCCATTGGGCTTTGGAGTTTATTCAAAATTATAAATGAATGTGCTACTTGATTAACTGGCACATTTGGTATTCTGTCAACACAGGCTTTGATCCTGAGTTTAGGTGTAACATCAGTAGCGAACAGCCAAACACATGCTGATAGAGTTTATAGAATATTAAGAATTTAAACAAATGTACACAGGAAGATTCGTCGTCTTTTGGGAGGTGATGGAAACTACAGTCGTTGGCAGGATCAGAGACGGCTCTGGCAGGATCACTCTGATTTCATTTTCAGCTTATGTTCAAAACAATCACGTTTAAGCCACTGAATTAGTTTAGTCCGGTCATACATACAACCGTGAACAGCACATGTTGTCCCTGAGCGCCTTAACGACATCTCTCATAAAGATTTGCGTCTTTAAATAGTAAAATAATTCTCCGAAAAACAGCTAGCCTCTTCGCTAACTAACACACAAAATACCATTGGAATGCTACTTCCGTCGCCTCACCGGAACTTTCACCCACTTTATTTTTTACAGGAGCGCCCCTCGGAAACTTGTGGATAGGGTATAATAATCATCACTATACATTCGGACAGCACAACAAAATGGCAAGCTCGCTATATAGTCCACTATATACTGAGTAGTGGGAGATTTCGGACACAGCCAGCGGCACCGGCGCCACAATAATGGCTAAACAACTTTCTTTAATGTGCTATTTGGAAAAAGCAAGAGTTGAGGAAGAAGACTCACTACTGCCATCATCTACTGAGTGCACACAGGCCAGTTCTTCAGACTCACAAGAAGACTAGTCAGGTGCTGGTGGCCGCCGCTTCTTGCTCGCTCTCTCCCGGTCAGCCTGACGCGGGTTTACCCGCCGATCTAACTGCGATATTATTATTTTAGCTTACTTTATTTTCGGGTGAACTGTCTTTGCACTGCTGACTAGCCTAAATAAAATAGACAAGTTATTGTCTACACTGGTTTGTCCAGCCTTTATTGAGCTCTGTTGGTTGAACAAGATGGTTTGCCGAATATAAAAGTGTAACTGTTTTTGCAGTTTGTCTATTAATGTTTCTACTCTCTAAGGTTAATTATTATTGAAGTATTTTTTTTCTATGAAAAACTATAGGCCCACTCACATTTTCACTGGCCCACCCAAAACGCCACTGGTCTAAAGGGCCTTCTAACCAAAGAACGAGTAGTCAACATTTGAAGAAAAAAATCATCAAAGTTGTCCTAATAACTTTGACGAAAGGTTTTGATTCACTTCAAATGTTGACTACTGTATAACGATAACTATATTTGGGTCCACACCAACGAACATCAACGGTCTGTTTTTCTAAGCTCGCGCTGCGGTTTAAGCGTACAACGTCATTTAACATGTTTTTGCCGTTTTCGTTGCATTTACACAGCTTTAACCAGCAGATGTCCTTAGGACGCTGTGTTTTTTTAGTGTTATCAAGCTAATAATATAACGGTAAATTAAGCTGACGTAGTCAATATATTTGTATTTTCTAAGCTAATTTTCTTGAAAAGTCGCTTGACTTTTTTTAAACAGTGGTGGATTTTCCTGGACGTCGGCGATTAACTTTTCAGCAATGTCGTCTGCCATTTTAAACGCGACCTTAAACTAGAATAGATTCTGATTGGCTGTCAGTGTTTTATAGTTCAACAGCTGTGAAAAAAAAAGTGATCCCAACAATATTGTTTCTCTATATAGTTATAGTGGTGTGAACTCTGCAATATCGCGAACAATTTTAAGAACCCTATCTTTATCGCTATTGTTATCATCCCTGGTGTGAACGGGCCTTAATAGTTGCTTCCCCCAAATCCCACTGCTTCATACGTTCTTCATAAAAAGCCTAGTAGAGATTATATAGAAAGAATCAAGGTGTTTATGTTACTGTGCTTTTCTGCCTAGTCAGAATTCAGTATTTATATCAGACATTTACTGCCAAGAGTTAAACAAAGAAAGGCAAACACACACGCGCACAGACACACACACACACTGTGAGTGGCGTCGTTCCAGTGGCCGGGGTTTTAACTGCGCAAGAAACGCTCGTGCTCAATGTCGGCTTTCAGGAAATATTGGCAAAAGCATAGTATTTGAAATCCCACCACATTTCTCAAATTTCTCCCTCTCTGGCCAGCTAAATAGCAGCCATAACACACATACACACACACACGCAAGGAAGCCAGAGTGGCTAACATTAATTGAGCAATTCATATGTAAGGGAATAGAGACTGGGACTTTTAAACAAAGATGTTTATTGTTCTAAAAAAACAAGGCCTTAGCTATGTTCCTGGTATGGATTAAAATGACATTTTCACATGATGAATCTGTTTGCTATCTGGAATAGTCGTACAGTATAATTTCACCCTGCTTTGACTAAACGAAGACACGCTACAAAGACTTTTGACCAATTCCATATGCAGGAACACAAATCCAAATACTTGCAGCAACCAAATCCCAATGCTAACGTGACTAGCTATCTTGACGCTCAAATAAAAGCAATCCGTACCTTCATTGGTCCATATCTCTGATTTGACGTGGTCAGAGAAGAGGATGATGATTCCAGTGACTATTAGATCGCCAAGGCATGACACTAAACCGGGCATCTGTGAGAGAGGGAGAAAAAAAAACAACAGTTAAAGGGAAGTTAATGGGTCTCATCCTGTGTAAAACGTCCACCTGCTTAGCAACCATCAAGGCTGTGAAACAACATAACAATTAAGCGCTCTAATTTAGATATAGGCAAACAAGACACCATGGCAATACGTGCGTGACGATGTGATATTTCTGTATAAACAGCACAGAGAATCAACATCACTGCAAAGCGGTGTTGACAACTTGACATGATGGTCGATTTTAACAGTTTTTAGTAACTGCAGAATTCGGGGAAGTTATTTGCCCTAAGTACATTCGCAATAATTGACTGTTGAGGACATTCTGGGTTATGACGTCAAATGAAAAGGGCCCGTTATCTGAAATACGGCCCCAGGGAGCCTCGTATCAACAGACTGTAAACATTTTAAACAAATACTGTAACTGACAGGACACATCTGTCATGTATGCGGCGGGGATTTGCCTGGCAGGAATCGTTTTATGACAAACAGATACGGATGCATCTAAAGCGTAAAGGAAAAGCAAAGTAAATGCAGGAAATATCTTCACATTCCAAACGGAAGTGATAAACAAAAGCTATGACCGTTGTTAAACTTCAAGTAGTGCAAAAAACAAGTAGGCAGGAAAATAAGTAAATTAAATCATTAATTAATTAATTACATTTGAAATAATAACATGTATCTATTTTTTTTTAAAAAGGTTATATAATGCGAAATGCTTTTAAAGATTTTTTTTATTATTATTATTATTTTGGAGATTTTTTTGTTGGAGCGATAATAATAGTAAAAAAGTAAAAAAATCCGATGCAGAAAATTTGCAGTTGGGTTTAAATTATCTTGCTTTGAGAATGTGGTATTTAACATCATACAAAATATTTAAGAGACCATCTAGCTCCATATTGGAACATCACAGTGAAATTGCACATTAATAACAAATTAAACACAAAAAACAAAAATGGACAAATAAATTTCCAATTTACTGAAAGTTACAATACACACGGAAATAAGTGCTGTGCCCTATTTGGATAGGGCTTTAGACAGAACATTAATTTGTTAATAAAATCACATTATCTTGACTCGCACATGTAAATAATGACTCATCAGACCGCTGTCAGTTTGGCAAACTAATGCTCTAAAACCGCAATGTGTGCTGATATCCACAGAAGAAAAACAAACAAAGACACCTTTAAACCACTGGGCTTCCCTGTAAGAACCATGGAACCAAAAAAAAAAAAAAAAAAGAGATAAAATCCCTATTTTTTGTTTTAATGATATGCAAGCCAGCATTATCGAGAATGTCAGTTGCTTTACAAGAACCAAACAAACATACTTTCAGTTCATGACATAGTCTGGCCATTTTCCCCTTCTTGGGATTAGTCTTATATCAAATGATTAACGATAGAAATGGCACACGAGAGTGCTCTTACTGAATACTAGCACACATTTCATGAATGATTCAATGACCATAATGAATCAGCCCTTTGAATAAATGACTCAATGACTCAACTTGTGAAGCAGCCAAAGAGATATAGTACAGTATAGTAATAAAATAAACTTCAGAAGATCTAAGAACTGGATTCACTGAAGTGTGTGGCATTTTATTTATTAGATATTCAAAGACTTGTTTAATTTACATCAGTCCGCATTTGCTGAATGACATAATGTCTTAGTTCAAGAATGAACACTTAACCAAATATTTAGCCCCTAGGCTTTGTCCTCATTATGATTATCATTGTCACCTTCTTGAGCATCATGGGATGTGCGTTTCTCAAAGCAGACGGGTCAGAGAAACGTTCAGGATTTTGTCATCATTCTTGGCAGCTGTAACCGAGTAGCCTGATTATAGAATATTATATATTGTAGTAATCAAGGAACACATATTTTAGTGAAAATGACACAATCCTCCAAAGTAAATCAGTTTTCAGAGAGGAAAAGTAAGACTAAAAACTCTCAGAGCAGTAAAAATATCCTTGATGGTCCAATATGGTTTAGCCATCATTATCTTACATCTCTTGGTAATTCAGAATATATGAATTTTCCTCAGTGCATCAGAAGAGATTGACTTCTCAAAACCGCAGGCTGAAGTTGTTCCCCATTAGTTTTATTCTAGTTTATTGCAGGACTGCACCAATCTACAATGTTTTTACCACACTGCTAATCTAAAACACAGGCTTGAAATAATCCTATTATGCTTTTCAGAATGTAATAATAATACCAGCCTATGGTCTTTATTGGATGAACGTGAACAACGTCTACTTTAAGCCTCAAACACTGTAGTTGTAGCTGAGACTGAAAGAGTTTGGTTCGTGTTGTTGTCATGTCTAGAAGACGCTGTTTTCTGTGCTACACAAGCAACTTCCAAAGGATGAGGACCCGTGGTAAAATGTATATGGTAAAACCTATGCCATGGTTACTGATTGTATCTCTGTGAACACAAGTGCTGAGGAAGATTGAATTTCAGAGCAAAGTAGACCAATCACACCAGACTGGGCCATCTGACCAATCAGAGCAAAGTAGACCAATCACAACAGACTGGGCCATCTAACCAATCAGAGCAGAGTAGACCAATCACACCAGACTGGGCCATCTGACCAATCAGAGCAAAGTAGACCAATCACAACAGACTGGGCCATCTAACCAATCAGAGCAGAGTAGACCAATCACAACAAACTGGGGCATCTGACCAATCAGAGCAGAGTAGACCAATAACAACAGACTGAATCATCCGACCAATCAGAGCAGAGTAGACCAATCATAACAGACTAAATCTTCTAACCAATCAGAACAGAGTAGACAGTCCCTCCAGGATTTCACGATTTTTTTTTTGTGATGTTTGCGATCAAAATGACTGATTTTGTGGTGGTAATTTCCAAAAATTTGTGAAAAAATTAGCGATTTATATATAACATTTACCATAATAGTATTTAGTCCTTCCAGAAAAACGCTCAGTTTTTTTGTGATTGTTGCGGGCAAAAAATTGATTGATTACGCGGCCCGTTTTCTTTAAAAATGCAATGGAATATGCGGGATATTTATGCAATTTTATGCGATGAAATTGCAGGAATTTGCAAAAATTGAGGGAACTTGCAAAAATTGCGGTTCGATGAAAAAGAGAAAAAAAGTGATTCCCCCAGCATCCTGTTCTCACTAGGCTAATGTAAGAGTCATTTCTTATTACTTCCTTTGATAAACAAGCATACTACATCATAGAAAGTGCTGGGAATATTTAATTTCTCATTGTTTTATTTCAGACTGTAACGAGTGTAAATAAAGTGTGGCCCCTTTAAGAGCTGCGCGCTCCGTGTTGAACTCTCTGCAGTGTTATATGTGCGCCTCATGTGCGCCTCGAACACCCCATGTGTGCGGGTAATTTCTGTTTGATGCTACTTCTTTTATCTTATGTTGTTACAAATTACAAGTACAAATTTGACGGTAGAACATGTGACAGACAGTTATACAAGTTCGATTTGTGAGATGTCAATCGCCTCCGTGAGTCTGTCTGGCGTAATTGTGTCACTTCATAATGTTCCCATGGAAACAGGGGGAAATGGCTGCTCTTGTGTGAAGCAAACGCAACATTTTTCAACTTTCTGCTAAGATACGTGACTTTTTTTGCAACGAAAATGCGAGGATTATGAAATTATGCAAAACCCGCATATTTTGCACAAAAATCTGCAATTTATGCGGCGAAAGTGCGGCGTATTTGAAAAAATGTGGCCCCCGCATAAATATGCGGACTTTGGCTGATTTTGCATTGAATTCAGGGATCGCATAATCACGTTTTTCTGGAGGGACTGAGTAGACCAATCATAACAGAATCTTCTGACCAATCAGAGCAGAGTAGACCAATCACAACAGACTGGGCCATCTTGCCAATCAGAGCAGAGTAGACGAATCACAACAGAGTGGGCCATCTGACCAATCTGAGACGAGTAATCTGATTGGAGTAGACCAATCAGAAGAACAGACTGTGCCATCTGACCAATCAGAGCAGAGTAGACCAATCACAACAACCAATCAGAGCAGAGTAGACTCTCAGAAAGTTTAGAGAGGCTGAATCCTTGATCTTGGATCCATGTAAACATATTAAAGGAGTCATTCAAAGCAAAATTAAGAACTTTTAAAATATCATTGCATAAAATAGCACTTTAAATGCTTCATAATGTGAGTTAAGCTCACAGAATGTACAATAAATCCTGCACTCTAAAAAATGCTGGGTTGTTTTAACCCAACTTTGGGTCAAATATGGACTAACCCAGCCGTTGGGTTAAATTTTTACATTACATTTTTAACCCAACATTTCGGGTTTGTCCATATTTGACCCAAAATTGGGTTAAAACAACCCAGCATTTTTTAGAGTGTGTACACGTATATCTTAGGGTGCCAAACATGAGGGCATCTCAAAGCCTGCAGTGGTCATTCTCTTATCTGACGTAGTTTGTTATCTGGATGCCCTCCATGTTCTCCACTCTCAGAAGACTGTCAAATTCAGCATCGAGGTGCAGCTCCTTTCTCGCTCCATAAAGACCTTTTGCATGTCATCAACAAGCATTTGCAAGAGTGAAGTGTTTTTCTGTAAGTTGGATATGGGACATCGCATTTTAAAAACCACTTAAAGGCTGCCTGATTATAATAACAGGGACAGCGTGGACTGAATGTGTCTGGGAATGTTTTCTTGTTGTTGGTAAATGATTTTAGAAATCTACACTGGTTTGCCTGTTTTAAGCTACTGTCAACTCCAAGCATTTGCTTAAAATCAGGCCTTAATCATTACAATATATACAGTTAAAAATAACAACATTTTAGCCCTTTTGAAACTTTTCAAAAGGAAAAAAAAAGAATAAACAAATGAAACAAATAACAATTCTAATATTAACGGTCAATACTATTTCACAATACTATAACTATATAAATATATAATAATGAGTACCTCTCAATATTTCAGAATATACCCATTAATGTCTTTAACCAAGGCTACATTTATTTGATAAAAA